GGATTCTGCACTTGCTCCATCTAAAGAGATTTAAATTACAGGGGTTCATTTTGTTTCTCATTAAAAGCTTTGTTTTAATATTAGTTATTAATGTATTTTATTGTTACCTAGCAGTGTGCTTAGAAGGGAAGTTAGAGGTTAAAAATAGCTGTTAAAATTCTGCCTCATCCATGATGGAAATAATTTCTATTGTGTATCAGCGTCCGGTCTGTTTGATGGTGTCTCTGCCTGTCCCACCCAGCCCTTCATTTGAAGCCCTCACAAGATTTGCTGAATCAGGGGTCTGCACAGCTGCATTTGAGGGAAACAGGAACACTGGAATCTCTTAAAATAGCAGAAAAAAGGGCAAATTGACTGTATTTTCTGAAGATAATTGTCAGTGAACTAGTTATTGCCTAACATTTGTAATGCAAATCCAGCTCACTCACCTGCCTTCCCCATCAACCCGTGGGGTTGTCAGGGCTCAGGAAGGAGCAGCTCCCTCTCTTTTGTTGATGCGATCCACTGCAGCCAAGGTTCATGGGCTAGAAGAACAGCAAGCAAAAGAGCCTGGTTTGGTACACGAGAAGGCACCGCGGAAAGGGTATGTCTGGCTACCTTATGCCTAGAGAAAGAAAAGGTGGTTTCTACATGTTTCCCTGCTCTAAAGCATGGGATCTTCATGTGGCCCCAGCACTTGCCCTCCTCCCTGATCCTCCAGGCTGCTGCATCCATCAAACCACCCTGCTTTACAGCCACTTAATGGCCAGGTCCTCCTGCCTGGCACAGTCAACGCTTCCCAGCCCAGAGCTGCTGTCTGCTATTCCCTAGTGTCCCAGAGCTCCTTTTTCCATGAGGACACCTCAAATTCGAAACTGTAATCCCTCAATCAGTCTTAAATCTTCCCACTCTCAAACTTCCTCAGTGGCTGAGGTTTCAGTATCTCCAAGGACAGAATCTACCACCCCTTTGGGCATCCCATTTCACTGCCCTCACAGGGAATATCTTGTCCCAGTTTTCTGATCTCTAAATATTTCTAATTGGAACCATTCAAGCTCTGTCAGGAGATCCCCACTCAGCTGTGTTGGCCTTCTGCCACATCTGCTCAACATTCTGCATGTGAAATGAGCATCTCTCTGCTTGGAAGAAGTTGGGCTCCAACACGTAGCAGAAGAGCAGGGTGCAGGAGAAGACATTTTCTATTTTAATTTACAAAGCTCTGTAGAGATACCTGAATATGGGGGTGAAGGGAAAGTGCCAGTGGGAAAAAGTAAGCTGCTTGGCTTTATCAGTGGGAAGCTTGCATTTTACCTAGCCAGACTGGTTTTGTGGAAGGTGATTTCTCTGTTCACATTCCCATAAAGATTCTATAGCAACCCTTGTCTGGCTTACTGTTAAAATACCTGTCTTGCCGCCTTTTTTTTTTTTTTTTTTAATCTCCTTTCCAAGCCCCTCTATACAATTATAAAGAGCAGAGCTTGGGTATGAGGCAACTGAAGACCAAGAGATGAGACCTACTGTCCCTCTCCCTCTCGTGGCTGACCCAGTGTTTCTACAAAATCATTTTGGTTTTGCCTGGGAGAATTTACTTTGTTGTATTAAGTGTGATGCTTTTAGCTGTAAGTCTGTGACAGCCGGTGAATGGCACAGTTTCACTGTAGCTAAATGTTGCCAGTGTGGGCTTTCACTGCAAGCAAGCGGGTGTTCTTTTATAAACTTGCAATTGTATGTTCACGTGAAATGATTTGTTGTGCCAAATTCTGAAGGTGACACTTAGCACAGTCCTGGTCACAGTGAGATCTGAAAGGCAAGCTAGTAAACCACACGTTTTGAGGATTACATGGAACATTTTCTGTACTTTTTATGCAGAATCACAGAATAGTCACGGTTAGAAGGGACCTCTGGAGATCATGTAGTCCAATCCCCCTGTCAAGGCAGGTTCATCTAGAGCAGATTGCTCAGGAGTGCGTCCAGGAGGGTTTTGAATATCTCCAGAGAAGGAGACTCCACAGCCCCCCTGGGCAGCCCGTTCCAGTGCTCTGGCACCCTCAGAGTGAAGAATTTTTTCCTCAAGCACAGATGGAACTTCCTGTGCTCCAGTTTGTGCCTGTTGCCTCTTGTCTTGATGCTGGGCAATACTGAAAAGAGCCTAGGCCCATCCTCTTGACACCTGCCCTTTAGGTATTTATAAGTTTTGATGAGATCCCTCTCAGTCTTCTCTTCTCCAGGCTAAACAGACCCAGGTCTCAGCTTTTCCTCATGAGGGAGGTGTTCCAGTCCTCTAATCATCTTTGTAGCATCCTTTGGATCATCCTTTGCATCCTCTAATCATCTTTGTAACATCCTCTGGACTCTCTCCGGTAGTACCCTGTCTTTCTTGAACTGGGGAGCCCAGAACTGGACACAGCACTCCAGATGCAGCCTCACCAGGGCCCAGCAGAGAGGGATGATGACCTTCCTCGACCTGCTGGCCACACTCTTAATGCACCCCAGGATACCACAGGCTTTCCTGGCCAAGCGTGCACATTGCTGGCTCATGGTTAACTTGCTGTCCACCAGCACTCCCAGGTCCTTCCCTGCAGAGCTGCTGTCCAGCAGGTCACCCCCCAACCTGTGTTGGTGCATCGGGTTGTTCCTCCTCAGGTGCAGGACTCTACACCTGCCCTTGTTTGAACTTCATTGGGTTCCTCTCCACCCAGCTCTCCAGCCTGTCCAGGCATCGCTGAATAGCAGCACTTGGAATCCTTCTGCAAAATGTTGTTTTCAGTTTTGAGTGAGATGGAAGGAAAGGAAATCAGGAACCCCATCAAAGAGAAGAAAGAAAAGTCAGAGTGACAAAGCAGACAAGGACAGATCCTGGGGGAAGACAGGTATACTCATTAATCATATTTACATTTCAAAGACGAGTTAACTGCAGTGCTCTCAATCATACCCTACACTTGGGTTCCCTGCCACACACCATGACTAATAAACGCACTTTGGAGGATAGAGTAAGTGACCCAATAGGCTTCTTCCACTTTTAATTTCATGGGTGATCTTAATTTGAGAGGTCAGTACAAATGCCTATGGTAAGTGACAATTTTAGGCCAGTAATTACTAATTAAGACAGAAGGCAAGATGCTGGCTAAGCCACTTTCAAATAGATCACAGATAACCTTGCAGGAGCTGATTAACTCAAACAGAACACCTCCTTAGGTGATAGCTACCAAATGATACTTGGAACAATTTTTTAAAATTAAAGGGATGAGGGAAAAAGATTTATGAAACTCTTGGCTGAGTTTTCTCTGGAGAAAGAATTTTGATAATAAGTGGGATTAGCTCTTTGCCAATTAGCAGACAATTAGAAGAAAGACATTTACCCAGTGGGCAGAAATCTTTTATGATAGATTCACACTCATCAAACTTGTTTACGCCGAAGGAGGATAAACACTGGCTTGCTCACAGTTTCTCAGCTCTAGTGATGTGAAGCACTGCCCTGCCAACTTCACATGGGCTGCGTGGGACTCGATGTGACAGTGCTTAACATGGCAAGCACTGAACGGAGGACCCCAGGCTGTGCTCATGGATCCTGGGATGGCTGTGGATGACTTCCAAGGGGTCCCTGCAAGAAATTAGGAACAACAAACTAACTGTCTGTGGAGAAAATAGAGAAATCTCTGACACTGAGAAATTTTTAGGGACCTGCAAATCAGCAAAAGTGAGAAGATATTGGCTTCATTAATATTAGTATCTGTAAAGGTGGTCATCATTGGTAGATCAGAGATAGTGTCCCTTGGACTGGTGAGGCTTCTAATGACCATAAATTTAGTGGCAAATGCTGTAAAGAAGAGCTGAGCGCCACTGCTGCTTTTTGTCTTTATTTTTTTTAAGCCTAACAATTTTTCCGCATGGTTCCTACAAAATGGGCACATGTAGGCAGCACTGCTTGGCCAGAAGGCAGGGTGGGGGAAGAGTCTGTCTGATTTTGCTTTTGTTCGTGCTTCTCTTTCTATCCTCAGAACTTAAATGGTTCCCATGTATTTCCACAAGCCATGGAAAGAGATGAGCATGTGCAGAACATGAGCCCTCTAATCCCAACAGTCGCTCAAAGTGTATTTTGTTATTTGCACTCTAAAGGGACTATTTCTTGCTATTAACTCCACAGGCAGTATGGAGCACAAAGCTAGACTTGGACATCTGCATTCTAGCTGCCTAAAAGAGTCCAGAAAATTATATCCTATTCAAAAATCCAGCTCAGAAAAGCACAAGAGGAAAACCAATTAGGACCAAGCACAGCTCAGGAGTGCAGAGCATTTCCCTGCTATATCCCTTGGCGCAAGGTAGTGCCTACCCTGATGACTACAAACCCAGGCTGTGATGCAGAAATGAAGGAATGAACTCAGCCCTGGGTTTGCTACCGGCATCCAGATCAAAACAGGAATTTCAAATACAGCTTGTGGCTTTATAACGTTTGTGACATGCATAAACGTGAAGATGTATTAATACATGATGCTTCCAACCAAATCCATGTTTTTACTTTCCTTCCCTGTGTAGTCTGTGCCTTGTCCTGTGGCAGCTTCATTTGGAAGAGGCTGCCCTGATGAGGGGAAGCACTCAGCCACGAGTGACGGCATCCTGTGTGGAGGCAGGGCCAACTCATGCCTTTGCAGCGCTTTGCTACACAAGAGGTGTGCCTTTGCCATTTATTTCGTTCCAAATGAGGGCATTCTCTCCTGTTGAAGGTGACGGTTGCTTTTAGAGTCACTGTCAGTTGTCCAGAGATTGAAATTCATTCCAGTAGGCTAGCACAGTCCCTGTGACGTGGATCTTATTTGGGAATGCCTGACCTGGAGCAGGCAGATGAGTGGTGTCAGCTTCAGGAGAAACCTAGGGAAGAACCGGAGATGATGTGCACCCCTCATTCAGGGAATGTTGGAGCAGGCTAAACCCTTCCAAGAGCAACAGTCTGGTTCAGTTAAAATACCTGTGTTCATTTCCAGGAAAACTAATCAGCAGGTGTTTTTAGGGGCAGGGACCAGCAGCTACGATCTGAGGCATTTTGCTGGTGCGTTGTGTGGGTTAACAGCCTGTTGAACCATAGGAGCAGACGTGATGGAGAGGCCCAGAACTGCGGCCTGCTGCTGATGCCTCTGCTTGGTGCCACCTGGAGCTGTGCTGAAAAACAGGGAGATGCTGTCCAGTCCTTCTGGCAATGGAAAGTCAGCGTACAAAATGAAAGGAATGGTGTTATCAGAGCTGAACAGCAGCAGCATTTTGTGACTGAAAATTATTTTCTTCGCTTGCACGATACTAACATCTAGGGGGAAAAAAAAAGGAGCACTGCAGAGGCAGTCATTACAGATGGAGGGGACTGATTAGCCACTCTAGCTTTTCCACCTGAAAATACAAGATGTACTATGATACCACCAACGTGAACTCCATGGGAGGAAGAAAAGGAAATGTGATTACGGATATTATATCCAAATTGAATTAAAGCTGCATTAGAAAACTCAGATTACTGCATAGTTCCATGCTAGGTTTGAAAACATGATATGCATCTGCTACTGACAGACACGTAAAGAACATGCAGGCGTTCATTTCTCATAAAACTGGTTTGATCTCTGACTTGCTGATTCACAAATCCACAGAAACAAAGGCAGGAAGTAAAATTACAGACAGACCTCCTTAGCAAGTAAATAATCATCAGCAAAGCAGCAGGGTTGCTTGGGATTTTTGTTTGGTCTTCTTCCAAATACTTGCTCTACATTGCAACCTTAAGCAAAGTTAATTACCTTGGTTTCTTTATCTATAAAAATCAGATAATGAATCTAGCTTTCTTTGCAAAAGGCAAATCTGAGGGCTAAAGCATTAGTATAGCTTGCTGATGTTAATAAAGATTTTCTCAGTTGACTAGCGGTCACTGCAACACTTCTGTGCTATGTTCAATCACTGTACAGATTTAAATGAGATATTAAATCCTTCTGACTTCTAGTTTTTCTGACAGGGAGAAAGAGTAATCCAGGCTTAAGCATACATGCCAAGCTCACTTTTAAAATTATTTTTCGAGGGGGGTCATGTAGTGGAGGCAAAAATCTCTGCTTTCTTGGCAGTGACTGCTACAAGGCAATGATAAAGATCACCAGGCTATGACGTTGTCATGAGTTACTGCCTCTGCTGTGAGGGCTCTATACACCTGGTAATTCTCATAAAAGATGTCTTGTATGACTAGAAATATCACATAGGCTGACAAAGTGAAGTGTAGTAAAATAGTGCATCTTTCAATTACTTCCCATGTTACACTACAGCAAGGGGCAGAGTGCAATAAATTTTAAAATAAAAAGTTGACATGAATGATTATAGAGTAATAAATGAATAACAAAAACTTTTAATGCACTTGTAAAAAATAATCCAGCAATCACCTTCCAACTGTATTTAACCTGTTTTCAAGCAACAAAACCAAGCTGGCAGCTGTTTATTAAAAGGGATCAGGGTGCTAAATTGCGCTTGGTCTGAGGTAATAACTCTAGAAAAAAAAATCTGAGAGATGTATTTTAAGAACAAAATCAAAGAAAACAAAGTTGCAGAACCTGAGAGTTTCAAAGCACTCTCCTCTTAACATCCCCCTGTCCTCCAAAACAAACCCAAGGCTATAAAAAGCTTCAGGAAAGATTTTCAAAGGCGCTGAGCTTTCAAAAGGCATAAAGCCCCAAAGTATTCGTGGTGCATTTCAATAAGGAAATTTCCCCTATATCTTCTACCCTTCAGTCTTCTCTGCCATCACGCACCAGCGGGCATGGACAAAGTATGGGTGAGTAATACCCAGCTCAGGAATGTGACATTCTCTCAGCCCAGCCAACACCCCTTCTTTAAAACGAGGGAGTACCTCAACTGTGCCCCAGCAGGACCCTTCTCTGCATGGGCAGGGTGTATTCACTGACTGCTTTCTGCAGAGAAGGGCCCGTTCTCCTTTGTTCTGAGGTTGGCAGAAGGCTCTGTGTTTTGGGCGATGGTCTATTTTAGGCTGTTGTCTGACAGTTAATTCTTTCTGATGTGAAATCAGGTCAGGTAAACAGACTCCTCTCCAACCATGGATAGTACCTGAAGCCATAGGGAGCTGTTTAGTTGCTTGCCCTAATTCTGAGTAGCCACTTCTGAAAGCCTTCGAGCAGCGTGACGTGGGCAGCACAGGTTTAGCAGACACTTCAAAAGCTGTTGTATTTTCAAAACGGTTTGCAGTATCAAAAAAAGTCAGAGGTGCCTTTCAGAAAGCCACACTCTCTGTTTTTATCAACTTCTTTTTTTCCTGTTTAATTTATTCAGCTGAACACCATAATTGCAGTATCTAATGAGCTCTTCTTGGTGCCACTGATCACCCACATCCAATACCGAGTCAAGTGATCTGGAGAACAGAGACCATCTCAGAGATTTCTCAAACACAGTGCATGGTGCTTTTTTCTCCCCTCCACAGGGTGAGCTTCTTGCTGTCCTCTATACCTCTGAAGTCCCATCCAACTTATGACAGGGCTGGTTCAAAGTCAGCTCTTTGTCCTTGTGAAGAATCGATTTTTGTACTCCATGCGAGCAACACTCACCCGAGGAGCAGGAAGGAGGTGAAGGATTCCAAGGTACAAAGATGTCTTGCTTTTCAAATCTTCTCCATTTTTGCTCCATTGCTCACACATATATCATTATCTGGCCTCCTACTCTCAAGATGCGAGCCATCTCTTTTATTGCTCGCATGCACTTCTCTTCTGTTGAAAAATGGTGAATCACTAGAACAGAGCAGGTAAGGTGAATAAGTATCCCTCGAGGCACTAATGAATACAGAGTATAAGGACAAGGACTGGCTATGACACACTGGCAGCTGGTGGTTTGCACCACAGGAATACCTCATTTATCTTCCACTGTGCTAAGCAGGACTATTATTGTACTATCTCTAACATGGGAAAAGTGTTCAGAACACTGACTTCTTTTAAAACAGTAGAATTTAGAAACGTTGAAACAAGTGACATCTTTCAGACTGTCAACAAACAACACAACAGTCATCTTTAATCAATGAAAGGCTACCTCTCGGTCAGCGGCAGGGCAACCTGGCACATTTTTTCCCTCACCTAAGGCACATCTGCAGCCTGAAAGAAGCACTCCTGAAAGATCGAGTCCATACGTGGTCCTTGCAACAGCCGTGCTAGTGGCGTCCTGCTGACAATACCCATTAAAAATGGACTAGATTAAAACTGCCTGCCCTTTTCTCCTCCTTTATTGTCAGACGTCAGTAACAGAGCAGGAAAAATGAACAGTCACTATCAAATCATCAGCATATGGGTAAAAGACACTTAGTCAATTAGCATTTCTCTACTTCTGCCATTAACAAACATGTATCATGAAAATAGATAATTAGATAAGCCAAGTCTTGCTTGATCATCACCACCACCACACAAATATGGGTGATGTGGAGAATGCCTCATCGTTACAATGGCAAAACTGAAGCGGCACAGCTTTGCTTGAGTCAGAACTGAATTTAATTTGACTCTCGTTTCAATAAAATTTTTTACACCAAAAAGGGCAATTGGTCTCTGGATTTGGCAGGAATTTGCTGAACGGCAGCTCTGAGGGTTGGCTCCTGCTGACAGACTGCACAGCTCTACAGCAATTTACAACAGGCGGCAAGGTTGATCAGGTCTTGGTGCACAGCAGGGGCTTCAGCGAAGTTTCAGCTACGTCAAATGAATGTTACATGAGTAATAAGAACAGGAAATGATCCTGGAATAGTGCTGGGAAGGAAAGGGCACGTATTAAACATGCTGAAAACAAAAAGCAACAGAATTAGGGATATTTATCCAACATTGTATTTTCCTCAGTGAAAATGCCTGTGCCAGTTTGGGCAGATCTCTCTACACATACTACTTCAGGTTACAGTGATAAACCAGTTTTTGGTTAAGCCGTTGAAGTGTTGATTTGCACAGAACAAGAACAGATATTTCAAGGATTAAAAAAAAGGGTGCAAGCTTTCAATTCTTTCTAGAAACCTAAGTATAGAAGATGCTAGCAGAAACTCTGTGTCTGCTGTATCCCTGTGTCTGTCAGGGCAGACATTCACCATCAGATCCATTTTGCCTCAGAAAAAGAGACACACTGCAATTGAAAGAATAACAGCATGCAATCCAGCCGAGACAGGAAAACACTCTCTCTGCAATGAATGATGCATTCAGAGCCTCAGCGGCAATGCAGGATCAAAAGGCAAGCTTTGAAGAAAGAGGGTCTTTTAACATTTAATTATTCAGCTGCTCTGCCTGTAGGTTTCCCTTGTTTGAGATGAGCAAAAATCAATTCCAAAAGCTCAGGTCTTCTAGCACTAGTCGAGATGTTGACATTGAAACATTATGGCCTTTTTAATTAAAAAGGCATCAAGTATCATTTAAGAAATTACAGCGTATTAATAAAATATCACGCTGAGCAAAAGTTTAGTGTTGTCAAGACACATTTTTCAGATAATTTTAAAAAACTATGGGTGATGTATTCCATTTAAAAATGCATAACTGAAGGCAACAGAGCATCTGCATGGGGGAACATCACACTATCCTGAAATCGCTGACTGTCATGTGAATTCTTGCACATGACTGTTTTTAATCAAAGCCAAACCTGCTAGGCTCTAAGATCACCAAGCAGCCACATTCACCTAAAGCAGATGGCTTATACAAATTCATTTATTTCTTTTCCTTGACATTAACTTCCTTGTATGTTGAAACTGTGTTTAAAATGAACAATCCGTACTGTATATTACAGATGCCATTTAAAAATGGGGTGGCTCACACTGGCTGGCAGTGAGGCATAAACCCTCACCGAGGGCCTGACAGCAGCCCAGCAGTGACATGACCCTGCTCCCCTCCAGTGGAAATGGTTCAAGTCTGCTTCTCCTGAAACTCTTCTCATACTGATAACGAGGTGGCACTCGGGGCAATATTTCAAAGAATCGCAAAATTGTTTAGGTTGGAAGGGACCTTAAAGCCCGTCTAGTTCCACCCCCCCTGCCGTGGGCAGGGACCCCTTCCACTAGACCAGGTTGCTCAAAGCCTCATCCAGCCTGGCCTTGAACACTTCCAGGGATGGGGCATCCACAGCTTCTCTGGGCAACCTGTGCCAGTGCCTCACCACCCTCTCCGAGAAGGATTTCTTCCTAATATCTAAATATCTAAATCTCCCCGGTTTCAATTCAAACCTGTCCCCCCTTGTCCTGTCATACAGGCCCTGGTAAAAAGTCTCTCCGTCTTTCTTACAAGCCCCCTTCAGGCACTGAAAAACTGCAGTACTTTCTCCCTGGGCTCTTTCTGTGCCTCCCCTCCGAACAC